TCTTAAAAAATAACTTTTCCAACCATTCACAGACATGAAAAAGGAACAAAGTTGGTACTTCAAATATTAAGAGAACATTAATAAATTGCTTCAAATGTTTGGGATTTGACCACATTGTGATAAATTATCTAAAACGGTATATCATCTCCTTAAAAGAAGAGGCCCCATCAGAGGAGAAAAAAAAGTATAAGAATCCCCTAATGATAATGATGATAATTCATCATTAATGTATGCATGTGAGGGAAATCTTTTGGAGGTTTAGACCACAATCTACCGCCTGAGATATTTGTGCAACTGCGATATATTTTGGTAGTTTGTGGCCTACTGAGTGACACGAATAACATGATCTCAATTGAACAACTTAGAATATCTCTTAGAGATACTAAGCATTCCCAAAATTACATAAAATATGTAAATTCTTTTAAAAGTCATTATAAATAGTATATAAATGCTTTAATCATGTGCTACAAACAATCATGTCATTGTCAAATGAGTTGATCAATCTGCCCCTGATGAAGAAAAATTGTTAGTCATATAAAATAGAAAATTTATAATTTTATCCTTTCCTCAGCAACACAATTGAAGCACTAAATGGTATAAAATGCAAAAATAAAAATTGGAAGAAAAAACAATTCTCAAAATGTGACGGCGATATCTCATTTGATCGATAAATTATCTACTTTACTTATGGATGAGAGGGGCCAACAACAAATTCAAGTATACTATAATGGTTAGTGGAGAATGAAGCATTTCGAACATCACAACAAATCTATTACTAAACTAACTCGAGCTACACTAACATTAAATTTTGATAATATCAATATCATCTCAGTGAGTGTCATAGAGAAACATTTATTGGATACTCAATGGAATAAGAACTTTATAGCAATCAACATAACAAACTACAAAACAATGTTGACGGAATATTTTGAGTGCTAAATTAAATGCAATAACTTTAACTAAGTGTCCAGGCCAAATATGTCATTACTTATTCAGCGCCACATAATTTTATAGTCGCCATAACGATAACCCATATTTTAACATATCTAAATTTAAAATGCAGTATAATAGCAAGTTGGTTGAGATGGTTGCTAATGATGAAGATCCCAACATACACGTGATAGTTGAGAAGAGGTTTTAAAGAGATATTGTGAGACAAGTGATTGCCACTATGCAGGCATAAGGCATTAACTTCATTAATTTCAACAAAAAAAAAATTGTTTGTAATCAATAACTTACTAATGTGTCCTATGATTGCAGGAGTCAAAGAAGCCGCTCAACTTAATGATTTGCATAATATCTTCGAGATATGAGAAGAATAATTGTGTTTGTTTGTTTTTTTTTTTCCTTAAACATTTAAAGGATTTAGTTGGTGGGTCGAATTCTGTTTGAGTTAAAAACTTCAATCCTGAAATAAGTAGCCAAATGGTTCCTCTCAATTTAAACTGACTTGACCTCTAACACGCTAAATAATTTTCAGGATTTAATTTCTTCTGGATCTACTAAATTCAAACATACATGATTTGCAAACAGCTTCTAACAGATCAATGAAAAAAGTTTCAGAACGAACATAGAAAATGAAGACATGATCATCATGTTAGCCTTCTAACAAGCAGAGAAATGACGAATAGCTAAATCCACACAGAGCACTCGTTCTCAAAAATCAGTATTCTCAACTCAAAGTTCACCAAACAGATAACTACCTCGATCTGCGCTTCCGAGCGGAAAACCGAGAGCGTCTTAACAAAACCACTGCTCTCAAGAAACGCTGCGATGGATCTTAGGAGGCTTTCACGCCCCTTCCCTTTCAGGGATATAGCATGGCCGCTCGGCCTATCCAATGCTGAGGTTTCAACCAAGCCGGAACCGTGATCACCGCCATTGGGAATCTTAGAAGATTTTTTCTTCTTGCTCTTCTTCCCCTCGTTCTCAATTTCCATTACCGTCACTATCTCGTCCTTCCTCTTCTTCTTCTTCTTAAAGTCGTCATCCTCGGCGGCGGTTGCGTTGGTGGCCATTTCGAGCATCACTTGACGCGGGATGAAGGAGGTTAGGGTTCGGCGGCTGGAAACATCCGACATGCGACTGCGCCATGCGATGAAGCTCTAGTGATGAAGCTCTAGGGTTTTTGAAGGCTCCTTTGTAGATCATAGAATATTACATGCTTGTCCAATCTTGAAAACCAAAAAATTTTGAAGATAGAGTTAAATGTGGGAGCCATTTTTCTGTCCGAAGTCCACACGTGCGAACAACGGTCGCGATGCAGCGATACAACCTCCGCTGCATCGCGTCCGTAGCCCGCACGTCCAGAATCCAGACAGAAAAATTGAGGTAAATGTGGGTCCTTGGTCCGATCCTGTGGCCCGCTTTTGTTCGATTGGCTTATTACGAAATCGCATGGTATTTTCTTCTTATGTACTTCTGCTCACATCTCAACCCTAACTCCTCACCCGAATCGTAACACTAACCCTAGGTAACTTCTCTCCCGCTCCCCTTTCTTCTTTCATGTGTCTCTGTCCTAAGAAATTCTTCTCCTCTATGTAGCTCTCCTTACTACTCTCTTGTTTCGCTTCTCTGGATACTTGCTCCTCCTCTTTCGTGGTGGGAAAACAACTTCACATTCTTCTTGGTTTGGTTCCCCTTATTTTTATGTTGTCTTCTAGCAACATTTACCCTCTCTCTTTTGTCTTTATGCACATTATTTTTTTTTGGTTCATAGCTTTGAGTCACACGGCTTGCTCTCTCCAAGTTGTGGTTGTGCTCAATGTAAAATTATGAATATTTGCTTTAAAATGGAGGTAATGCTTGGTTGTATTTTTTTCTGTGAATTTTGATTGTTTGTGATCTTCGTTGTTTTGACAATTTAATCTTTGCAGTTTTGGGCCTTTGATCTTTGTTGTTTTGGCAATGCTTTATAGTATTTGTGTTATTTGTGAAGAAGTTTGTGGCTTGTGGTTTTTCTCTATGGAGGAATTGAAGCATTCAATTTTTCGGCAATTTTGTTTGTGGTTTGTGGCTTTCATCTATGGAGGAATTAAAGTACACATTATTTTAGTGATGATGTTTGTTTTTTGTCTCTTTCCTCTATAGAGGAATTGAAGTATGTGGGTGACTATTGGTGTTGGGCGACCATTGTCTGTGTGAGTGGCCAATGGTACTTTGCGGTCATTCTCTTTGATGGGTTGTCATTGGTGGTTTGTGGCCTATGTGGGTTGTTATGTAGGTGTTTGGCGGTTGTAGTGTGTGAGCGGACAACAGTAGCGATGCAGCGATACAGCGGAGGTCCGATTCCGTAGTCCGCATGTCCGAACTCCTGATTGAAAAATTGCGATAAATGTGGGTTGTTGGTCTGATCATGCGACTCGCTTTTGTTCGATTGGCTTATTACGAAATCACATGGTATTTTCTTCTTCTGTACTTCTCCTCACATCTCAGCCCTAACTCCTAACCCGAATCGTAACACTGACCCTAGGTAACTTCTCTCCCGCTCCCCTTTCTCCTTTCACGTGCCTTTGTCCTAGGAGATTCTTCTCCTCTACATAGCTCCCCTTACTCCTCTCTTGCTTCTCTTCTCTGAATACTTGCTCCTCCTCTCTCATGGTGAGAAAACAACTTCACATTCTTCTTGGTTTGGTTCCCCTTATTTTATGTTGTCTTCTAGCAACCTTTACCCTCTCTCTTTAGTCTTTATGCACATTATTTTTTGTGGTTTGTGGCTTTGAATCATACGGCTTGCTCTCTCCAAGTTGTGGCTGTGCTCAATGTAAAATTATGAATATTTGCTTTAAAAAGGAGGTAATGTTCGGTTGTATTTTTTTTCTGTGAATTTTGATTGTTTGTGATTTTTTGTTGTTTTGCCAATCTAATCTTTGCGGTTTTGGTCCTTTGATCTTTGTTGTCTTGTCAATGCTCTATAGCATTTGGGTTATTTGTGAAGAAGTTTGCCGCTTGTGGTTTTTCTCTATGGAGGAATTGAAGCATTCAATTTTTCGGCAATGTTGTTTGTGGTTTGTGGCTTTTATCTATGGAAGAATTAAAGTACACATTATTTTAGTGATGATGTTTGTTTTTTTTTTTTTTCGCTTTCATTTATAGAGAAATTGAAGTATGTGGGTGACTATTGGTGTTGGGCGACCATTGCCTGTGTGAGTGGCTATTGGTGCTTTGCGGTCATTCTCTTTGATGGGTTTTCATTGGTGGTTTGTGACCTATGTGGGTTGCTATGTAGGCGTTTGGCGGTTGTGGTGGTGTGTAGATGAGAGTGGTGGTTGTGGTAGTGTTGATGGTGTGGTGGTAGTGGCTTGTTGGTGTGGTGGTGGCGGTCTGTTGGGTTGATTGTGGTGGTTGAGGTAGTAGTGTCGTGGTAGCGCTGGTGTGTGTAGATGGGAGTGGTGGTGGTGGTGTGTTGATGATGTGTTAATGGTGGCTTGGTGTTAAAGATGTGGGGTGGTTGTGTGTTGATGAATTCTCCTAATTACGCCTAACAATCATACTAACCACCGCTCCCCCATAGTTAATGAATCCTCTTGCAGCTATCAACTTTTTTGATACTAAAAATTTGTTGTAACACTCCTGAGGGTTGGAGCTTACAAACTTCTTTTTATCATGTGAAGACTTAGACTTGTTTCCTTTTGTTTTGGGAGCCATAGGAAAGTAAAAACAATGAAAATCCAAAGGAATGCAGACAAGAATTAATGTGGATGCAAACAATATGTAAGTTATGGGCTAAATCAAAATTCTCCCCAAAAATCCCCAATTTCATCGTCTCCACAAAAATTCCCAATTCCACCATCTCCACCAAAAATCCCAAAAAATCTCGAATGAAAATTGGAAGAACGGGCTTAGGGAGCGTATTTTATCTCATGGAAGTGATTTCCACTCACCAAAGCTTCAA